ATGATCCTTGGTGGTCTGCGGAAACTCGTATACGAGTCGGAATTTCTTGGGAAGTGTGGGTCGTCACCCAGACTTCCCTAAGAAGGCAGAGTGCCGGAGTCACGAGGTACCTAGCGCTAGGCGTTTTCGGCGGACGGAGCAGAAGGAGGAGGGGGGGAAAAGGGAGCGTTCTCATCCACAAAGGAGTCACCTCGTTTATGGCTGTTGGAGGGGGGTGCCTGAGAGTCGGCCGCAGCCGTGAAGGCCTGAGGCGGGGATTTATGACTGTCGGAGGAGGGGCCTGAGCGTCCGCCGCAGCCGTAAAGGCTTGAGGCGGGGATTTATGGCTGTTTGGGGAGGGGCCTGAGGGTCCGCCGCAGCCGTGAAGGCCTGAGGCGGGGAGAGTTCCCTCCTCATCCCCGAGCGTCAGGGCCTTGCCGGACGATCACGGTCAATGGCACTGCGATAGCTCGGGGAAGAGTGGCCCACCCCGGGGAAGTTTTGCTTAAAAAGTCTCAGCTGAGGTGGGGGTTTATGGCTTTTGGAGGAGGGGCCTGAGGGTCCGCCGCAGCCGTGAAGGCCTGAGGCGGGGAGCGTTCCCTCCTCATCCCCGAGCGTCAGGGCCTTGCCGGACGATCACGGTCAATGGCACTGCGATAGCTCGGGGAAGAGTGGCCCACCCCGGGGAAGTTTTGCTTAAAAACTTTCAGCACTGATGGAAGGGATGGTGAATGCGTTTGACTGTCGGAGGAGGGGCCTGAGCGTCTGCCGCAGCCGTAAAGGCTTGAGGCAGGGATTTATGGCTTTTGGAGGAGGGGCCTGAGGGTCCGCCGCAGCCGTGAAGGCCTGAGGCGGGGAGCGTTCCCTCCTCATCCCCGAGCGTCAGGGCCTTGCCGGACGATCACGGTCAATGGCACTGCGATAGCTCGGGGAAGAGTGGCCCACCCCGGGGAAATTTTGCTTAAAAACTTTCAGCACTGATGGAAGGGATGGTGAATGCGTTTGACTGTCGGAGGAGGGGCCTGAGCGTCTGCCGCAGCCGTAAAGGCTTGAGGCAGGGATTTATGGCTTTTGGAGGAGGGGCCTGAGGGTCCGCCGCAGCCGTGAAGGCCTGAGGCGGGGAGCGTTCCCTCCTCATCCCCGAGCGTCAGGGCCTTGCCGGACGATCACGGTCAATGGCACTGCGATAGCTCGGGGAAGAGTGGCCCACCCCGGGGGGAAAACTTACCTAAAGGCCAGAGAGGAGTGGTGAGTGTGATGAGCCAGCGCCGGAAAAAGAGGACGAGGGCAAGCTGCTGCTGGTGTCGGGGGAAGACGGGGCCCAGTTGGGGTGTCCCGTCTCCCGGGTTTCGGCACCAATGAAAGGAAAGGAGCGACACATAGCAGCAATTCACCGGAGAGTTCCGCTTTATTAGGGAAAGGTGCTGGGTTATATAGGAAGGGGCATAGGGTGATTGTGGTGTTACTTCTATGGGGCTGGTGGCTGTTGGCTAGGTGCTGGGATTGGGAGGGGGGCGAGAGGTGATTGGGCTTCAGGTGGCACCGGCGGGAACCGAGGACCCCCGAAGAGAAGCCGGAAGTTTGCCATCTTACTGGTGGGGGTCCTTCACTAGTGCCAATCACGTTGTCCTGCACAAAGTATACCTCAATAAATATTGACTGAAAAGGCAAATATATTTGTAATTATGGTGTGAGTTAGTTGGTGTAAGAAAAGAGGCCATTCCTGGCAGATTTGACTTAATTTATATCTTCCTGGATATGACTTTGAAACTGAGATCTGAAGGATAAAAAGGAATAACCAGTTAAAAAAGGGGCAAGTTGGGAAAGCAGGGACACCTGCTAGGATCCTGAGTTGGGACCCTGTCAACCATTTAATACTTATGCAATGACATTTATTCTAATTCAAAAAGTAGTCATATATTTCCAGTAAGAACTGGGGAAGAAGTAATCAAAATGGCATGAAGAAAAAATAAAAAAAACCATCACTCAGAGATAAATACTGAATTTTTAATTTATATCCATTGAGTAGGTTTGTAGATATGTAAAAGTACACACATATGATTATTATACAATTGAAGGTTGAAATGTAAGTTTTATAATTATTTTTCCTTCAATGCTTTTGAGTATTTTCTCATGTTGTGAAATGATTTCTAATGGCTGCCTTATTTTTTCTCATTTGTACCAAATTTTTGGATATTTAAGTTTGAATCATTTTCATATTAGAAAGAACTGTAATAAATGCTTATGAGCAGAAATCCTTGGGCACATCTCAGATAAATTCCTCAAGTTGGAATTTTTAAACTTGATTTTTAAAACTGCTTAAACAAATTTAAACAATACTATATGTTTGTGGTGAGAAAAAGAATTACCTGAGACTGTACAGTAAAAAAACAGATCTCCCTCCATTTGGACCCTCAAGACCATTCTCCAGAGGTAATTCCCACTCCTATGTAGAAAACTATTGGGAGCAAATCGTACACAACTGAACTTGGCACTTTATACATACAGTATAGATAGAATATTCTTAAGTAGGTGTTTGTCCTGAGGAAAAGATGTAACAATTTACACTCCTGCCAACAGATATGAGGAGGATATCATTCTCCAAACTTCCTCCAGTATAAAGAATTATCATTTCTTTTGTTTCCGATTTGATAGAGAATTATATTTTGTCATTTTCATTTGTTACCTTTATATACTAGCAAGTAAGCAGCATTTCATGTGTTTATTGGTCATTTCTAGGTGCATTGCCCATTAATGATATTTTCCCCTAAGGTGTTCAGCTTTTCCTTACAAGTTTTATAAGGATTTCAGATATTATCTATTTTTTTGCATATATTATAGTGATGCCAAGGTTCTTGTTTGTGGAGTTGAAGAATGAACTTAGCAAACACTCAAGGTAGGAGAGCCAGGGAGAGGCTTTTATTTAGAGAGTAAGTGAGAGGACAGAGCTCCTGGCTCACGCCAGGAGGGGACAAGAGAGTCCGTAGTTGTGTGTTGTTTAGGGGTTTTATAGGCAGTTGAGGATTTTGGGGACCGTGATAAAAGGCTTAGGGGTGTGGACCTGAATATTTAGAATTAACTTAACACAAGGAACTTCCAGCCCCCGAGGTGGGCTGAGGTATTGTCTCTTTGCTAAAGAGTAAGTTAAGAATTTAACTTCTTAACTTCCTGGGTATTAAAATGCAATCTTACCTTTAAGGTGGAATCCTCTCTGCCTTTTACTATGTTGTTTATGGCAGGGCTTCGTTGCCATTATTAATTACCCAGATTGCACATCACCTCATCAGGTCTGAAGGAGGAAAGACAGACAACACATAGGCCTGGGCCTTTTCATGCTAAAGTGAATCTTACACATGATTACAAATGATTAGCATAATAAAAACATGGGCTACTTTCCTTTATCTGGGGAATAGTAACTGATCTCACTGAAGAATGACTCAAGAGCTTAATGCTTAACACAGAGTTTGGGTAGGGGGTTTCCTTGCGTGTAGTTACATTGCTCTGACTGTAAATATCCTCCTGCCTTGCTTTTTCCCGAAGCCCTCACCCTACTCTGACTACACCCACCAGTCCCTGTCTCAATAGGTTTGGTTTCCTAATTTGCATTTGAGTTTTCCTTAATCTTTTAAGCCAGAAGTTTAAAAGTGCTTTGTCATTCTAAGAGTTTTCTCTTTGCTTCTTTATCATTTGGTTTGTGACCTCGCCATGAGGCTGGAACTGCTCTTAAAAGATGTCTCTGCACCCTGGGATAGAGACTTACCTTAATTTCTTTTACTTTTTGTTTGGTTTTGTTTTTCACACTGAAAATTTTAGTGCATATGTAATTTATTTCCATGCATAATAGGAAATAAAAAACCTAATTACATATTTTCTCCTTAGTTAACCAGTTGTTCCAGTGACATTCATCAAATAATCGATCCCTTTTCCTGACTGATTTGGAATGCCGTCTTATTACATACTGGATAATATAGTCTATCCTGGGTTTTACATCCTTTTTTATTGTTCTAGTGACCCGTTCTTGTACTAGCCTGCTTTATTTGTTATTTAGTTAGCATTGTTTAGTATTGCAAATTTTTCTTTCCGATTTTCCCTTTTTATTTAAATTTTCATTTTTTGCTTTTTTGACTTATTTATTCTTCCATATTAACTTTGGAATCACTTTATCAGAATCCTAAATGAATTCTGTTCAGAGTTTGCTTGAAAGTGATATTGGTCACCTGTTAATGAGTATAGCTTTTGGAATCTGGCAAACTAGGCTGGAAATCCACGTTTGACCACCGATTCTTTGTGCAAACTTAATAAAGTTTCTTAATCTCTTAGCCTCTGTATACTCATCTGTTTAGAGAGAGAGGAAAAAAACTAAAAACTTGAATCTCATTTAAAGGAATGTCATGAGCATTAAATGAGAAGATGTGTATAAAGAATTTAGCATAGTGCTGAGAACATACAAGCTTTTAATAAAAGGAAAGTATTGATTTTGTAGGTTAATTTGGAGGCAAGTTGACACAAAAATTTTAATTTTGATTGTTTCCATCCAGAATCATGTTTTGCCTTTTTCTTTATGTTCCTCAGCAATATTTTATAATTTTCTTTATATAAATTTGGGATTTATTCCTGGGTGGTTTTTGTTTATGTATATTTTTGCCCTTCATTGTTTTACCCAAGAGGGATAGCACTACCTAGTGGTTATGAACAGATCTTGTGGGCTAAGATAATTATTTAAACTTTGTAAGCCTCATTTCCTTGTTTTGGTATAATGAGGACAATCATATTACATGTCTCCTAGTACTACAATGACTGTAAGGTGCTGAGCTGAGCTCTGGCACATTGCAAGCCTTCAGTGAATGTCAGCTATGGTTATCAGCAGCTATAATACGGGTTTGCAGGCTTAAGCGAAAGTTATTGACTGGGGTGGTCTCTTGGTTCTCTTTGCTTCTTCCCCCAGCTCCTGCCCTTCCTGAGAGGGAGCCCAGGTGGTGGCAGCCATGCCCCTAAAAGCCTGGCACCAGGTGAGCTGTGGGTCCCTCAGGTCAGCCCTTGAGAGATCTGATTTGAAGGAAATGGGGGTGAGAGGGATGATTCTGGCAGAAGTCTTAGAGCCAAAGCAGCAGGAAGGCCCCTGCTTATCCCCCAGTGGGACTGGACGCCGGGCGGGGGGCGGAGAGAGCTGGCGGTGAGGCGGTGAGCAGCCAGAAGCCTGGCGAGCGGCGGCTGGAGAGAGTGTCCTGGAAGCAGAGGCCCAGCCTCCTGCTCTCTGAGGCTCTCGGCTGAGCTGGAGGGTCCCTGGGGTTCAGTAGCTGCCTCCAGAGCGGGATCCGTGAGAATGCAGGGCCCAGGCTGGTGGTGCAGGGATCCGGTATTCGGTGGGAGTGATGGAGATGATCAGGGTTCTTGCAGAGTGGGGGCAGAGGGACTGCAGGAGGAAGGTGGGAAAAAGGGGGCCTCTACCACTTGTCCTCCAAAAAGAGAGTGGAAGTTGGGGGCTCAGGATCAATGAGGGGAAGAATTGGCCCAGAAAGAGCACATAAATGTCTTTCGCAGGAGTCAGTACTTCTGGCTGAGGGAAGCAGCATGCTGCAGTGTGAAACCTGGTACTAGATGGCAGGAAATTTAATTTCAGATTAGATTGTCTGCCAGCCTCAGTGGCATTGTGGCCTTTAGCCAGTCACTTAAGCTTGTGCCTCAGCCGATTTCATCTGTCAGATGGCAGCAATACCATTCATTCCCAGGTTAGGGAGGAGGGTTTTGCCAAGTGCCTTTCAGCTCTGCAATCTCGTGGTTGTGAGTGCTGCTTGGTGGGCTGTCTTCCCAGGGCTTCTCTGCCTTGGCAACCCTGTCCCAAGTACTAACCGCCATGGTCCACTGTCTGCACTCCCTTCCCTTAATGTGCCTGGAAGCCTGATCTTGACACCTCAGAGACACAATTCATTGTCTTCCTTGCACCTCCCACTCACCCCTACACTTCCTGTCAATTGCTGGTGTCCCCATGTCACCATCCTGGTCACTGTGTTTAGATTTCCTAGTCATTATTGACTCTTCACTCTCCCAAGCCATCTTGTCCATTCAGTCCAAGTCCTCTTGTTCCCGTCTCAGCACCCATTTGTCCCTTCTTTGCAAAGCTCTCCTTCTGATTTTATCGGCAGAGCCCCCCTAGCTATTGCCTTTATCTCTTTCCTTAACCTCGGGCCTTCCTGTCATCTGGCATTTGTTGCCTATGAAGTTCAGGCTCAGGGTCTTGGGTTTAAGTGTGTTGTATGGTGGTCAATCCAAGTGCTTTCACTCAGAGTTGAGGTCAGGGTGGCATTTTATAAATATCTTTCTGTGCACTGGACAGAAGGTGGACTTGGAGGATGGGCCTGGAGTTAGGACTGCTGAAGTGGTTAAAGGACCATTGCTGAGGACTTAAGTTATGTGGTGACTAATGATGGTGAGGAGGAGTCAGATCCCAAAAGTATTTCAGAGATAAAATTGGCAGGATTTGATTACTGATTGCTTGGCAGAACTAAGCAGTGACTAGGGGGATGGTGAAGAATGAGTCTCAGATTTCCAGCATAGGCTGAAACAGGGAATCAAAATCAGAACCAACATCAGGTTTACGTGCTTAACATTTGTTTCTCCTTGTACTGAGCAGTTCCTATGAAGTAGAAGAAGCCAGTCAGAGAGGGAGACAAGTTCATAATTGGACATGTCAGGAATGCAACTGGTGAGAAGATCACTGGGGCATCTGAGGCAGCCATGTGAGTGGTGTCAGCAGTGAGGAGGTGGGAGGGTCATCACTGCACAGGGAGGGCACCAAGGAGACAAGAGGGGCATGATCATGGTGGGCTCTGGGAAGGGAGAGTTGGGGTGGCAGGAGGTTTGCCTGGAAGAGGACAGGTTGTCTAAGAGGTATAAAGGGGGACAACCGAAGAGCTGCCTACAGCAGGTAGAATCAGCAAGCACCTTCTCATAGGACGACTGAGTTGTGGAGGCTGTTCAGGCAGCTGAGTTCTCTCTACTGGAGGGGCTGGAACAGCAACAGCAGAGCCCCTTTTGTTTGGTGCGGGGGGTGGGGGGACTGGGTGCACAGCAGGGTTCAAGCAGCAGCAGAGGATCACCGGGGACAGAGGCCCGCTTGGACAAACCATGACTGTTCTTGGCCCGTCAGTGAAGTGCAGACGGAGCACGTCGGTCCTGGGCTGTCGCCAGTGGAAAGGGCAGTCAGAGGCCGGTCACCTGCTCTTGGAGAGTCTGAAGGACTGAAAGGTTATGTGCAATAATGAAGAGAAGTTGCCACAGGAAGGTGAATTCATGAAAGACTTTCTCTGTTGTGATTTTTCCAAGGTGTGACGTTGCCTTTTGTAATAGCATCTTGCTGGAAGTAGAAGCTGCCCTGAGAGTGGCAGGGGGTTCAGATTTGATGGTTGCAGGCGTGGTCATTCATCCTTAGCGCCGTGTCCTTTCCCACTTCCTGCATTTCCCACCCATCACAGGACTCTCCCTCAGACCCTCCTACCATCCCCTGTGCCCCACACTGTGGCCCTGAGCCAGCACGTTGGCTATGGGACAGCAGGAACCTCTTATTTGAGGAGGCCATGACCTTCGAGGACATGGACATGTCTGGGCACTTCACCTGGACAGAGAGGGCTGGCCTTTCCCCCATACAGAGGGCCCCGTACAGGGAGGTGGTGCTGACAGATCATGGTAACTTGACTTCCCTGGGTGAGGCCACTTTGCCTTTGGGACTCAGACTCACAGGACAAGGGTAGGGGTGGATGTGACATGAATCTCATAACCTTCCACATATTTAGGGGCAAAAACTTCTAACCCCCAGCTCCAGAGGCTAGCAGGCATGGAGGCAGGGGAAGCCTGAGGTCAGTCTGGGTCTCACGTGGATTCGGTTTTCTCTGGTGAGAGCACTTCCCTTGAGCTCAGTGGGAAGGAGGTGTCCCCTGCTGAAGTTCCCGCCTGCCTTCTTGCCCAGCGGTCTCGGGGAGATGTCCTTCACTCCCTGCCTGTGCTCGCATGTGTCTCACAGGGTCTCACTAACGAGCTCTCTGAGGCACTTTCTCAGAGGTCACACATGCTCTCACCCCTTGGGCTCCCTCACCCTCCAGGGCCTTATCATGCTGGGCTGCTTTGGGGCTTCCTCCTGTGACACTGCAGACACTGGGATAGGAAGTGCCCTAGGGACACTGGCACAAGACCCTCCATGCCATTTCCCTGCTCCTCCACAGGATGCCCAGCGTCCACACCTGCCCTGATCTCACTTCTGGAAGTGGGCGATTTGCCTTGGGGCCTGGAGGCAAACGACTGTCCACCAGCAGAGAGGACCAAAGACATCTCTAAAGGTAAGTGAGGCACATTTAGAAATGGCAGCCACAGTCCTTTGGTAGATCTATGGTTTGCAAGCTTTTGAGCTTTTACCAAATGCCAAAATGGCACTTTGTTGTTTAAGAAGCTCCAGAGGATACTAGTTATAGAGACAGATGTAAGGAGCTAAACTAAAAAAAAGTATGTTAAGTGCTGTTGTTGGCAAACAGGCAGTGACCGTGGGAGCCCAGTGGAAGGAGGGGTTGGAGGAATTCCCTTTTAGAAGCGCAAGTGACGCTCCTTCAGTGGCAGGCCACATGTTCTGAATTCAACAGGTAAGAATGGGCTGAAGATGGGGGAAAAAAGGAAGATAGTTTGGCTGGAGGAAGGGAATAAAAGATGCAGTATAATTTCTGGCAGAATATCTGACTAAGGACTAGTGTCTGGACTATGCAAACAACTCTCAAAACTCCCCAATAAAAACAAACAAACATTCCAGTTAGAACAGGTGCCAAAGGCCCAGACACTTCACCACAGAGAAGACACAGAGGGCAACTAAACATATGAAACGATGGCTGACATCAAATCCCATTAGGAGAATGCAATCTGAAGCCACAATGAGATAATCCGTACACACTAATCACATATATAACTATGTCATTATAAAGAGCTTCATGGTTTGATGTGCAGAAGAACCAGAAAATGAGCACATTTTAAAATGGATGTTTCTGGGGCCCACCTGCAAGCATTCATCCTTCTTTTTAGTGAGCATTCAAGGACATGAAGCTTAGGACTAAGAGCCTTAACAGGACTTTCTTTTCTCTACTTCTGTGCTGTCAGCGTGGTAGTCACCAGCCACATGTGCGTATTAGACTCATAAGCACTTGAAATGGGGCTGGTTAAATTGAAATGTGCTGTAATTATAAATACCGGACTTGGAAGACTTACTACAAAAAAAAGAAATAAATGATCTCAATAATGTTTACATTGATTCATGTTGAAATGATGTGTTGGGTTAAATAAAATATATTATTAAAATAAATTTCACCTTTTTTTTTTTACTTCTTAATGTAGCTACCAGGAAATTAAAATTACATATGTAGCTTGCACTTACGGCTGACATTATATTTCTTTTGAATATCCCTGCTCTTCTATAGAGCATATCCTTGAGCTGCTGTACTTAACCAGCTGTGCATAAACATCCCTGGTGCGTGTGGAAAGCCAACAAGAAGTTATGGCTGACCTGTGAAGACTTCTGCCCTGGGGCACTTACCACGTGGAAACAGGAAAGAGAGAACAGGCAAAGGACTGTGCAGCAGGAGCAGTGACCTTGCCCGCTGGTGGCCCAGGTCCACAGGTGGCTGTGTTTGTGAAATATTAACTCCACATGCAATTTTGTTGGGCCAGGAAGGAAACCCTGTTACATTATGTTGTTATGTTGGAGTTAATAACTTTGGAGGCAGACAGAAGGGTGGGGACAGCATGGTGTAGGGGTGGAAAGGACTGAGGAGTCATGGCAGCACTGATAAAGTGTAGCAACGAATGAGTCAGCTAACAGACGCGTCATGATACAACTTTTACAGCGAAGATGACCCTGGACTTTCCCATGAAGTCTGAGTTTCTTTGGGACACACAGCTCCTGGTATAGCAGGCTGCTGAGATGCAGCTCTGTAACGATGGGGCGAAGGCAGGTCTGGAGTGAATGCAGTGGGTCAGAGTCTGGAAACATAGGCATCACGAGGGTGTCAGGACGACTTCAGTCCATTACAAAATTATGTCTGTTATCACATTTTATGGTCACCTTGTATATGTGGGAATTCTCTACATCAGTGGTTCTCACCTGGAGTCACTTTCATCCCCCAAGGGGGAACATTTGGCAGTGTCTGGGGACATTTTGTTTGTGCAGACTGGAAGTACTACTTTATCAGGGGTCGTGCTAAATATCTACACTGCATGGCACAGCCCCCCAACAAAAAAGAATTAACTGGCCCCAAATTTCAGTAGTGCTGAGATTGAGAACCTTTGTTTTATATAAAGGACTCTATATATCTGAAATGTCCCCCGAATAAAGACAGAATCTTAAGGACTCCTTAGGGTTAAAGGAGGAGGAGGAATTAAAAATAATTAAAACTAG